AGTTTTTTGACCGATAAAACCCCAACTTAGTCCTAGTGAAATAACAAAAAATTGTAAAAAAATAAAAAAAAGTACACATGGCACTATTAGATCCCTTAGGGGATACTTTTTATATAAAGGTGTATTGATAACATGCACGAACACACGTGTTAAATAAAATTGATAAATATTTTATGAAAATTTAACGTGCAAGCCATGTTGATTCCTATATGGCATCCAACAATCGGCCAATCTTGGATAAATTTATTATGGATTTATTATTGTTCAAAGATAAAATACACTTTAAAATTGCCATAGAAAATGATGTTGACAATTCTATATGATGTATAATAACTTGATAAATTGATCAAATATCACATGTATAGTGCTAGTTGGGTTAGCAGTGTTAGATTTTTAGTTAATATGATATATAATTTTAAATTTTAAAATATAAATTAAAATTTTTTTCTTAAACTATCAAATTTTAAATTTTATTAAAGTTTAGATACCAAATGGACAATTAAATCTTCACAAGATATTATATATTCAGCAATAAAAAATTTGAGTAATATTGTAAGGTTAAGCAAATAATATTGTTGCATAAAGTATTTGTAATAATTTTGTGCATATTCTTATGAGAAAATTATACAAAATAAAAATAGTCAAATTTGCCAAAAGTCCTTATATTTTGTGAAAATTTAAAATTTAATCCATGTACTGTAATTTATAAAAAATTTAGCTATTGTACTATTTTGATTTGATAATCTTAATTCAATCATTAACTCTATTAATTTTTTGCCATTAAAAATGTTGACTTAATGACGTGGGCATTGATTTTGCTAACATGGCGTCGACTTATTGATATAGCAATTTAGATAGATGAAATTAGTTGTTAAACAATATAAATAGTCTATGTACTTACACAAAATTTGAAATTTAATCCAGGTACTCACGAAATTTAAAATTTAGTCCCTCTAATATAAAAATATTTTTTGAAACATATTAATATTTGTTATATATAATTAATTATTAATAATATCATTTTAATAATAATAATATTATCATTTATATTAATCAATTATAATATTAAATTTTAAATTAATATATCAATGTTAATATTATTTTAATTAATTTAAATATATCATATAACAAAATTTATAATGAACTAAACTATTGAATATAGTTGCATTTATAATAATCCAAAATATACCATGTATAAAATGACCATTCCATCCAACCAAACAAAAAAAGAGATTCCAATCAAGATTTTTATGAGCAATGAACTCCTATCCATTTGAAGGATGAATTTTAAATCCTAGCAAAACAAAATGAGGAAATGATTTATTTGACAAATAGAAACATCAATATCGTATATCATAATGAGACTTTTAATTTTTTTTAGTTTTCATAAAAAAAATTTATCTAAATAATTATGTTAAATTAAATAATAAGGTTAATTTTAAAACTAATACATATTAAGTTTGATAAATTACTTTAATGTGGTTAGAATTTTGAACCTAGATTTGATTATAAAAAAATCATTTAAATAGTATTTAATTTAAAGGAATAGAAACATTGTTTGATGGATAATTTTACTTTTATGGGATGTAATCATAATTCTAATTCATTTAATAAATTAATAACAAATAATAGTTTTATTAAAATTAGATAGTTACAGATTTGTATCATATATTGACAAATTTGTGATAGATTTTTAATAGATTTGTGTAAGATTTTTTTTCATATGACCACAATATATTAAAATTGTGACAAGAAAGTGTGAAAAAATCAATAACGAATTTATTTTTATGAGAGAAATGAAATAAGAAATAGTGATAGAACTATTAATCTTTCACATGAGTAATAAAACATAATGACAAATTTAGGGACAATACGTGAAAATTGTGATAGAATATTGTGATAGATTTTTTAATATTATGACAAAATATTATGAGAGAATATTGTAGCAAATTTTAAATTTTAATATTTTAAAATACTAAAAAATTTTAAAAAAATTCAACATATTTTTTTATTAGAATGACTAAATTTTAAATTTCCTACGAGTATAAGGTTTAAATTTCAAATTTTATACGAGTACATAGACTAGTTTCAAATTTCGTATGAGTGCAAGGATTATTTGCGTAATTTAATAACTTATTTCATTAATCCTAATTGTCATATCAATAAGTCAATGCCATATCAATAAAATCAATGACATGTCAACAAAATTTACGGTCACGTCAGTATTTTTAATAGTAAAAAATTGACGAAATTAATGATTAGATTAAGATTATCAAATCAAAATAGTAAAAGAATTAAATTTATATGAATAAAAATACAGTGATTAAATATCAAATTTTTACAAAATATAGAAATATGACATAATTTGATCATCAATAGATATGGCACTTTAGGTCGACATGGATCTCCACATGACATAAATTAATCTTCAACCCAAAAAGAAAAAAAAAAAAAACGAATCCACCTATTTGACGAAGTTTAATGATGGTTGATTGAATTAATGAATTACTTAGTATTTCTTTGAAAGGTAAAAGATTGTAGATCAATAAATTAAATTTTAAATATTGTAGATAAAAATAAAATACTATACAAAGGTCACATATGTTTGGAACACTTTCCTTATAGTTTTGTAAAACATATTGTCACATAACATCTTTTAAATTGCAAATATATATATATATATATATTGCAATATTATAAATGTTACTACAAGTAGTTTTGGTTAATAAGTATGAAATTTCTTGTAGCCTGTTCGCATTTGCTAATAGCTATTAGTTTTAAAAGTGTTCATAAATCAAGTTGAAACGAGGATCTATAATACCCAAGTTCAAGCTTGAGCCCAGTCTAAACCATACACATTATTTATTTATATGTTCATATTTTTAAATATATTTTATAATTAAATAATATTATTTTTCAATATAATAATATTTTATGTCAAATTGGGTTATAGACGACAAATAATTCCATCCGTGAACATCTTTAGTTGCCATAAGATTTTATCTCAGCAGTTAGAAAGAAGTTTTGAAACCACCTCATGTGGAATTAGTCAACTTAACATGGAATTTTGATAAACTGTGTATTAATTTGCTTGTTTGGCTTTTGCATTTTATTTCAAATATACAAGATTATTATCCCTCCAAATAAAAACTTGTATAGTTTTAGCAGTGAAATTAGTTAGAATATGCAACAGCTTGCAAGGAAATTTAAGATTCGTGTAAACCAATTTTAATTGACAATATTCAGTGAAACAGCAGTACTAGAGAAATGGGCAAAATTGATAGATTTAGCGAATTATAAATGGATGTACACAAAGATCGCGTAGTCATGAACATTTACGCGTAGGACCCATGGAGGCTGGTCGGCTGTGATCTCCCATCAAATTGGATTGTATCTCAGGTTTCCTCACTCCCAAATCATTACAAGTAAGAAAATTATAATTTGTTATCAGCAAAATCATCCGTATTAGGTTTTTAGTTCCAAATTATAATAATCACATGCCAACCCAATCGTTCTTAGTTTTTATGTATGCATGCCAAAGGACTACGCTTACTTTCTTTATTATTTTTATAATTTTATTTTAAGAAAAAAGACAGGTATCATCTCTTCATTGAGTAAAATTTTTATGCTAATCTATCACTAACCCTAGTAAGAGGTAATATTAGAAATACAACTACGTACACAAGGCATTTTGTTTTTACCTAACACAGATTTGAAAAAACAAAATTGTTTTTATATTTAAAATTATCAAAATTTAAATTTTAGTAATTGAAACTAAAAATTCAATAATTATCAATAGACTGCGGAAAGAAGAAAATTTGAACATGTTGATCTTTGAGTAAAAAGATGTGTATCACCATCTAATCAAATGTAAAAACACAATTTAAAAAAAAAAATAAAGAGAATACTATATGAATAAAGAAACTTTCAAATATTACGTAATCGGCAATTAAACACACTTAAAAGAAGAAAGGGAGAGAAATAGTTAAAGACACTCAAAGCCCAATTCTCTCCAATGCTGTAGAGTGTAGCCGAATTGCAAATTTATAACGTCTTGTCTGCCCCAAAGGGGAGAGAGAAATAAATGATGGGTACTTATGCATATTTACGGGCGATAAGGGGCCACTGATTTTGGCAGGCATTGTGATTATGTTTCCAGAAACCTAGCAAAGCTTGGCTGTAGCTAGAACTTGATGAATTGATGTCATGGGTATATATTTTAGTATCTTATGTTTTCTTTCATGGTTTGATTTTGTATGCACATAAATATAAATTTCCATTGCCTTTGAAAATGACTCAACCATATGAAACAGCAACATCAAATCTCAATGGTAGATCTCATTCACATCTTAATAAGCCAAATATAAAAGCTAAAACGAGTTTTATGAGTCAAATTAATTTGCAACTCATACGAGTTAAAAACAATTACTATTTATTTTTTCAAAATATGTTTTTATGTATCGAACACAATTTACTAAGCAAAATAAAAGCTAATTTGTGGCACTTTAATTTAGAAAAATTATCTCATCTAATAAGATTATTATTTTAGACTATATTAAAATTTTTTTTATATTTAATACATTATTAATGTATAATTTTTATAAAACTATTAGTGAATCATATAATGGCATCTCATAAAAAATAATTTAAAATTTTTAAAAATCTAAGAAGAAAATACGCTTAATCCTAAAATTATATTTCAAATTAATTTTTATGGGATATCATATTATGTGATTGACTAATAGTATATAATATTTTTACTGATAGTACATTAAATATAGATATTTAAAAAATTAAAAATAAATATAACAAAAAATACATGATAACATTTTAATCCTGTTTATAAAACAAAACTCTAATATTTGATGAAATAATAAATTTTGATTTGTTACGGGTGGGAGCTTATTTGTAGAAACTGTAGAGAAATCATAAAGAGGATCAGGGGTTAATGGTAATTCTAAAAAACATGATAAGAGCTTTATGTTGACAAATAACATACAATTATTGTATGGATTGATTGGGGAAATATAGAGCTAATTATACAGTACTATTTTCGAAAAGGAGAACATACAAATCAAAGACGAAGAAAAAGAGGAATAGAAAGCAACTTCATGTTCCTCCACTCCCTTGCTTCTCCTATTCCTTTCACCTCCCCCCTCTCCCCCCCTCTTATAATTTCTTGCCTTATTTAGCAAAAGATAATTAATCTGCATCGATCTCAACGCTATGTCGAGTGAAAGAGGGAAGGATATAGCAGAAGGATCATCAAGGATTAATCCCGGCGATCAGCAGCAACCACCAACACCTAGCCGTTATGAGTCACAGAAGAGAAGGGACTGGAATACTTTTGGGCAGTACTTGAAGAATCAGAGGCCCTCAGTTCCTCTTTCACAGTGCAATTGTAAGCATGTGCTAGACTTCCTTCGATATCTGGATCAGTTTGGCAAGACCAAGGTTCACCTACAGGGATGTATGTTCTATGGACAGCCTGAGCCGTCTGCTCCTTGCACTTGCCCCCTTAGGCAAGCTTGGGGCAGCCTTGATGCTCTTATTGGGAGGCTTCGAGCTGCCTATGAAGAAAATGGAGGGTTACCTGAGACCAACCCTTTCGCCAGCAGTGCTATTCGAGTTTATCTCAGAGAAGTCAGGGAGAGTCAAGCCAAGGCAAGGGGGATCCCTTATAAGAAGAAAAAGAAGAAGCCGAATCAAGGCAAGGGAAGTGATGAATCCAGCTCTACCATTCACTTCTCTTGATTCATTTGCCTTCTTTGGATCATATATGGTAATAATTTTAGCCTCTCAATTTGCTTAATTTCTATAACTACTTTCACTTTAAAATGCTAGATCTAGCAGTGCTTTGGTAATTATTTTAGCTTCTCAATGTGCTTTAAATTTTGAACTTTCAATAACAGCCCATATTCTTTTGACTTCCATTGAAATTTTACAACTTTCAACAACCCTAATTTGCCTAAATAGTGACATGATAAATAAAGACATTGGGGTGATGTAAGTTCCGGAGATGTTTAGATAGTAGCTTTTACTAGCTATCTTTTACTCTTTGGTGACATTCAATGCGATGGGGAGAATATTGTGTGTATCTCTCGAAACTACAAAGCTGCTCCTATTGTGGGGAAGATCTCTCTCCCTCTCTCTCTTGTTCTCACTCAAACCGACAACAAGTTAAAATTATGCAAAATCAGACACTATAAATAGTTGCTGAATTTAATATTTGTTTCTTCATGGCAACTTTTCCTTGATTTAGCCCTTTTTGAGATTCTGCAGATTTTGTCCCCCATGAATGGTCAAGTGAGATATCATATACTTTTCCTTTTTTTTTTTTTTAGTAAGAACGGATTTTCTGGTTTTAATCGGTACATTCTCTTTTTAATTAATTGAAGTAAATTTATTTACATTGAATTTAATGAATTTATTAAAAATTATTTTCTTATAATCTTCTTACAAATTTAAATTTAAATATCAATAAAAAAGAATACATTCTATTTATGACTTGAAGTAATATCCATGGATAGTTTATCATTTTTGCAAATATAAAATATACGAATAATTAAAAGCAAACAACTAATCAATGTTTAAGGAAAATTAAGATATCAGCTTGGATTATATTTTAGTGTTTAATCAAAATTTTGTGTGGCTTTTGCTCAATTCAATTAACATAATTGGGAATCCTTTATGATGCAAGCGGAAGCCTAATGCCTGACTAATTATAAATTAGCAATTGTTTTGTTTAACGATAAGAATAACAACAATTAAAGTAATGCCCCACTGGTTTTGATTTTTTCTTAGTGCAGATGCAAGGCTAGTTTTGAGATTTTGCATCTGCATTCATTAATATATTTTGCCCTTTGTACCTTTAATAGATTGCATGTTGTCCAATGTCAGATTTTGTGGGACAGTAAGTTTATTCCATCTGCAATATATATACTTTGTTTTACAGATTAAAGATTACGTTGGTGCTAAAGTTTCGTTTGATTGTTTAGATGGCTGAAGCTGTGGACATTAAAAGTAAATTTGATCATTAGTGTAATTGATTCGTGTCTGATTTATATTAAATATGTGTTTCAAAATTATTGTGTCAAACTCATGTTAAATATTAACATATAAAATATAAAATATATATTTTTTATTTTTATTAAATTTAAATATACTTTTTGTTAAAATTTTAAATTGCATCATTTTTATATTTTGTTATCGTTTTTGTATAATATCATTTTGTTATGTTTAAAATTATTAGGTCTAATTAAAAAAATAATTTATTTAAAAAGATATATTCACTTGTATTTTTATGTTTTTATTTTTTTGTTTAAGACCTTTCAGTATTCGATAGTTATTTTGGACCCCGAATAATCTAAAGGCAAGTTGGGTTGGACCCAATAAAGGGGTCAAGCTCTCTTAGCTCTTATCTTCTTTATTCACAAGACTTGAAACTGATACTTTACTTAAAGAGAACTGAATTTTTTATCATTCAAACCAACAAACGTTAATTTTATGTTTTTATTTTGCTCTTAAAACTTTTACCACCTAATGTCTTCCTATCGTTCTTCTTGAATCTATCATCTCTTCTCCATCAAATGTATATTCTTATATCAAATTGTTTGAACATTATTAATTTTTATGAATTTTAAGAAAACAAAATTTTTATTTTAGTGTATTTAATATTAAAAGTTAAAATTTTTTTATAAAATTAAAGTTTCATAATTTTTAATATAAAAAAGTAAAAAAGTAATAAAATATAATTTTAAAATATAAAAAAATAAAAGTTTTATAGGTTTAAAAAAATGGCATAATTTTGGGATAGTTAAAAAAAACACGATAGATAAAAAAAAAATAGGACTGAAGAAGTGATACTTATATTCTTCTCTAATTGGGAATTGTTAATATGATTTGTATTTTGGCTAAGGCCATTTATATGGAACAGAAACATATATGCTTCCAATGAAGGCAGGGTTCTGTCTTCACTTTTTCTATATCTACTTATATGTAAATATATGCCAAAATGTTGCCACGTTCTCATATGAGAAAAATGTGAAGTGGTATGATTCATTGCCTTTAATTGTTGTCCATTACTACAGAAAATTGACTGACTGACCAACAAGAATAGACGAGAGAAAATGTGCCAAAACCATCAAAATTCAACAAGCAGATTAAAATTCCTCAGACTCAATCAGTAAGCACATTGATTAGGTTTCGTTAGGGGTTCCACAGCTATGTATGCCACTTTTCAACTTGGAAATTTCAGTTTATTTTTCAACCAGGACAAATTTTACACCAACCTTTTCTGTCTAAGGAGCCTATTATGCGGCTACTTTTCTAATGTCATTCACATCCCGTATATACATGCTAGATTCCTAGTTTTTGGAGAAAATATCTTTGCATGATCAATTAGTTTATCTATGTTGCTGTAACTAGCTCTTTATATTTGCAATTTTACTTCGAGTCACACCGTTAATCTTTTTCATCATCTTTATGGTCTTTTACATTACATGTGAGTTGAGACAAAAGATGTGCATTCTTTGTGGCTTTTCTCCCTCTTATCCACTCCTCTCAAATATTAAGATCTGAGTCTAAAACCTCTGACTTTATTAACGAAGAATATACCATTAATTAGAGATGTGTAGGATTTAATTTGTTAATGAGTTCAGTCAAACTTGAACATGCATTGTACTTTGCAAGTATATATTATTTTGTTGGGTGCATCCTAGTTAATTATTTGTTAATTTTGCAAGTATACCTATAACTTAGCATTTTGGTTCTTGAGATTATAGGAGACTTTATTTTCATTTTCCATAAAAAAATATACAATACATGCGCAATCATATGCGTACATATATTCATATATATATATATATATATCAAAAGCTGTGCGAAGCTGATTGTGTAGTTTCATGCAGGATTACATTAGCGATCACAAAAGAATCAAATTGAAGAGGATTGTTAAAAATATAAAATCAATTGAAGATTCATCAGCTCAATTTGGGGTTAATTTCCAGGTTTTTGTACTTGCTGCCAATAGCTATAAATATGATCATGGGAGTTGGTGTACAGAACTACGTACTGTCGTGGCGTGCTGCTTATTTGAATTCTGGTTATTTTGTCAGTTCTTACATTTTATATATATATAGACCAGGAATGTCCATTTTATGCTTAAACGTCCAACTCGAAATATTCACATTATATATCAGCACTTTACTCATAACTATATGCATGTTTGGTATCTCGTGGTTAATTGTTAGCTTCTTTAAGTTTCCTGTAGTGTTGCCATTGATTTTATTAAAGCTGTCATGCCTATATATCTTCATCGACAGCAAATCCCCCCACCCCACCACTTTCAGATGTAATTAGTATAACTGCTACGCCCATTTAGACATTGCAATACTTTTTCAGCTACTTCCTTCACAAAAACAAACCAAAAACTTCAGCTATTCATCCCCAAAAGTTGAAGGTCCTGCATGCCTTATATATTACACCGGACATACATGCAACATTATTCATCTTACTGATCATATTCTGTCCTGAAGATTGTGCCTTTTTAAAATCTATAAGTGCAAACATATTTTCAGGCAGGGTAAATTATGAATTCATAAAAAAAATATAACTTCCTAAACCAATGTAGTTTTTTTGTTGATGCTGGTGACGGGTTCGACCTGGATGGTAAAGCCTTGAAATTATAAGAGATTGAAGATCAATCAAGGATAAAGGTCGGAGGTTTTTTCAATGTTTGTGCTACAACTCTCAAGTCAGTACTTTAAATAGAGAGAAAGAGGAGAAATCTGAAGAGAAAATATCTAGAATTGATTGCCCATACTTGAGATGAAAGGGGTTATTTATACTTTAGGTGTGAGATGTCTGGATCTTAGTGATCCAATTTCTCAAAGTCAAGTTTAGGGTTGACGGTGTCGATTGACTTAACATAACGAGGAAAGTCAAATAGGAGAATGGCAAGTTAACGTATTCATATGCTGGAAGGCGGAATGTATAGCTGGTTGAGTTGATGTGGATTTTGAGAATTAAAGTCAATCTGCCACGTCAACTTTACTTAATGACCAAAATGACTTTGGAGAGTTAATGTGGACTTCGAGAATTGAGGTCAGTTAATTTATCACGTCAACTTAAATCTAATGATCAAAATGATCTCGAATTGATGATGAGTCACTCTCTTATTAAAAAAGAAAACCATTATATCATTTTAATCATAAAATACTCATAACAATTGACAATTTAATAAAATTTTTTAAGTTTCACTGTTTTAAATTCATTTAAAAATAATTCATCTATAAAATTTTAGTAACAAGATATCTATCAATTCAGATTTTAATTTTAATTTTAATTTAATCACTTTTAATGTCTAACCTTAATAAACTTTACCAAAAGATCTTAATGAAGTTTTGCCCCTTCTTGTATACTTTTAACGTCAAAATTAACTTGTATGAATGGTTTGCATATTTGAATAAAATACTTCCACGGTTCCTAAATTTTGAGGTGAATATCATTTTGATACTCATACTTTAAAATTAACATATTAATCCCGATATATCATGGTCATAAAGAAATGTCATATTTCGTCAACCAAATCATTAATGTAGCCGTTAAATGCCAGCTGTAAAATCATTATTCAAGTTAAAAGATAAAATTACAAAAAAGGGTGATAAAATTTTTTCACTTGTTTACAATTATGATGATAAGTATTTAGTAAGAAAAAATACTAATGATTTTGATAATTATAAGAAAAAAATTACTTTTTTATATTCAATTTTGTTAGTAAATATTTTTTAAGTTCAGTTTTAGAATAAAAAAAAGTGTATATCTTGAAAATAAAAATTACCTTTTTTTTTTCAAATTTTTTTGTTAATTGTTTTAAACATTGTAAAGCATGAATAAACATAGTAAAAATAAAATAAACACAAAAAATTTTTGCAAGTTGTTTAAGTCTTGATATAATTTTCAGCATGAAGATAAAATTTAGAATGATGATAAAATTTTTAAGTTTAAAAGATAAATGGATAAAGCGGATCGAATGGAAACCCGAACAAATTCAAAAGATTGTAAACCGATCTTAAATTTTGCATAATTTTATTCTTTGTCTTTTAATACCTACTTAATTTGACTATAATTAAAAACGTAACACAAAACATGAGTACTTTAATAACTTTAAAAGACAATAAAAATATAATTTATTTTCTTTACTTTTAATTTCTAAATTTTATATTATGTATAAAAGTAATATTTTATTGTATAATTAAAGTCAATTTTACAATTAGATTATACATCATCATAAAATATTTTATTTTATATTTGTCATTTATTTTACAATATTTAAGTGAATTGTCAAAAGTCAAGTTTTTTTAGTTATAAAATATCAATATAAATTTTTAATTGAAATATTATAATTTTCATACTATCACTTATTAATAAATAAGATAAATTTAATTATTTGAATTACAACTAGAGATGTTCATGAACGATTAATCTTGTATGATATTTTTAAAGCCTCACTTTAAGTCTAGCTTGACCAATATGTTACAAACTTGAATAGGCATTTTCTACTATTAAAATTTAAAATATTAAATATATTTTACATTAGTATTTTTAATATTTTTAAATATTCTTTTAAATGCAAATTAAATAAGAATATTTTTAATAAAATAATAACTTAGACTGGTTTGAACTTAGACCTTAAAACTCATGCCCAAAACTCACTTAGAATTCAACTTAACTTGTGGATCTAGTTGACAACTTAATTTATTGGTACGTCTATTTTTAATTTAACAAATTTTTTTTGAAAAATATAAAAAATATTAATTGATTTAGAAGTTAGCATCAAATTACGAAAATATATTTTCTTATAGAGGTATTTTAGTAATTTTACATTTTTCAGGTAATGCTATGATTTCAAATACACCAAAAATCATGAAATATTATAAAATTAAGACCTGAAAAGTTTCATGAAAATCTGAGCTCGAGAAGGACAAATTACAAAAATACTTTTATAAGGGTATTTTGATAATTTTACACTTCCTCGGATATGGCTGTGATATCAAATGCACCAAAAATCATAAAATATTATGAAAGTAAGATTTAAAAAATTTCATGAAAATCAGAGTTCGAGAAAGCCAAATTATGAAAATACCTTTATAAGGGTATTTTGATAATTTCACACATTTCCTTGTACAATAAAAATTTTAGTGTTTTAAAAATCACTAAATTTAATTTAAAACCACATTGATTTCACTAAGGTTGTGAATTTTGAGGCTCGACCCCAATTCTATACATTTTGATTGGGTTTTGTATAATTTTAACCAGAATTGACTTTAGGTGTTTACCCATTTTATTTATTCTTTATTTTTTATACAATAATGTTAAAAAATATCATCCATATAAATCCCATGTGAAAGAGTTTGAAAGTAACCATACAAAATTTTTTTTATTTGTTTATTAGGCCTAAATATAGATACATTTTATGAGCTCTTTAAAAGGTCTTTTTGTTGGTTTCAAATAGGCTTTGTTCAACTATGCTAAAATGTTCTTAACAAAATTTGGTGTCTATAACAGTACCAATTAATTATGTGTTATCTTTTAATATTAACTGAAATGATCTTAATTTTTTGTATTTAAAATTTAATGTCCTTAATTTTTTTAAAAAACATATTTTCAATTTTTAGTATGCTTGAATAAATATGAACCTTATATTGAAAAATTCTTAAAAATATTTCAATACTTTGTTAATATTAAAAGGAACTATCTCACCTAAAAAATTTTTAAGAATCACTATTCGAAATTCTCAAAAATCCTATATTCGGTGATTTAGATTTATTTTCATAAAATATGATATCTATAATTTTAAAAACAAATAGTATTTCCTAAAACTCATTTCTATGCAATTAAAAAAAGCAAGAAATCTTTATCATAAATTAATCTAAATGCTCCAATACATTGATGACATTTAAGATAAATTTTTTTACCTAAAGATTCTTAAAAAATCACTATTCAGATTTCTTTAAGATCTCATCCTTAGAGATTTTTTGTTTATTTTTAAAAATGATTAAAAGTCATATAATAATATAATTATCTACAAATATATTTATTTCCTAAAAAACACACTCTTATTTATTAAGAAAATTGTTCAAATTATAGAATGGAAATTTTTAATATTGAAAAGAAACTTCCAAATATTTCAATATTTTGGCAATTTTTATAAGATTTTTCTCACCTAAGGATTTTTCAAGAATCACTACTTGAATTTCTCAAAGTCTCATCATAAAAAATTTTATTTACACATAAAATCATGTAATGCAAGACAATAAAGCAAAATATACATCCAAAATATATATATAATTACTTATGATTATGTTATTCATTTTAATTAATATTAATCTCTTTAACTATTTCACAATTATTACCAAAAAGTTTTGAAAGAAACAAAGTAAACAAAATCTTTTATTGAAAATTTCTCTAGATACCCCAATACTCTTGTGGTATTTTAGAATAATTTTTTCACATAGAGATCTCTTAGGAATCTCTTATCAGACTTTCTTAGAATCCCACATCGAAAATTTTATTTGCATTTAAAATTATGTAATGCAAACAATAAAATAGAATATGCATGCGAAAAATAAAATACTTATTATGTTATACATTTTGTTATTCATTTTAATTAATATTTAGTCTCTTTAGCTATTTCACAATTATTACTAAAAATTTTTTGAAGGAACAAAGCAAACAAAATCTTTTATTGAAAATTTCTCTAGATACCCCGATACTTTGGTCGTATTTTAGAATAATTTTCTCACCTAGGTATCTCTTAAGAATTTCTACTTAGACTTCCTTAAAATCTCATCATCGGAAATTTCGTTTACTTTTTTTTGTTTAATTTAATTTTAATTTTAATTTTTAATTAGTATTATTATTTTTAATGAACTAAATTGTTTTTTGAATGATAAAATTAATTAATCACAATATTCATGTATTATTATAGTAATCTGATTACTTAAAGAGTAATTATACATTATTTTATTATCATCTAATATGTTTTTAGGAAAATAGATGAATGAAAGTTTTTTATATTGAATATTTTTCTAAATACTCTATTACTTTGATAGTATTTTTAGAAAAATATTTTCACCTAGAGATTTTAAGGAAGTCTAAAGGAATTACTACTTGGACTTTCTTAAAATCTCATCCTCAGAATTTTTTCAT